TTATTTCTTCCTTTCTTTCTCTTTCTCTCTCTCTCTCTCTGTCAGTCTGTCTGTCTCTCTGTGTGTGTGGGGGGGGGGAAGTGGTGGGTTTCAAAAAATTTTGGAACCTCTTCTGTAGGTGTAGCTTGCTTTCCGGGTCCACTGATGGAACCTCTTCTAACCGGTTCGGTAGATTTGACGAACCGGTTCTACCGAATAGGTGCGAACTGGTAGGAACCCACCTCTGGTTTGTAGTGTAAATGTATTATCCTGTTAGGTTTCACTGTTCAAAATTCTCTTTTCCCAATGCTTTAACTCCTTAACTGGGAACAATCAATCAATGATGCGTTGTACTTAATGCTTTTTTCATTATTATTAGGGTGCTGAAATGTATGTTGGCTTTTGAATACATCTGCATATTTCCCCTTTTTTAATCTTAGGAGGAAATAACCTGATATGAAAGATGTTTTGGGTCCAAATCCCATCAGTCCCCAGCCAATGGGCAGAAGACATATTTTAAATCACCTAAAAAAATTCAGACTATCAAATTATACTCAATCTAAGCATCTTTGGACCAACCCAGACAAATGAAGAACTCTTAAGCTCATTGATTTAACAAGGGAAAATTAATGCACAATTTAAATCAATAATCCCCAGGTTACAAGCGCTCCCTTAATGAAAGTTTGAAGTTATGCAACAAGCACCCCCTAGTGTTTACAAACAAGTCCCAAAATTACGAATGTTGCAGCACCACAGCAATTGTTCGCCCTTACAAACAACTGCAGAGGCTCTGCAACTTTCGTCCTACACATTACAGGTCAAAATGGAGCTTCTGAGAGGCGGATCCACCCCTCAGAAGCTCGTTCGGTCCTCCGTGGGCTTCCCCTGGCACATTGCAGGCCAAAATGGAGCTTCCAAGGGGCGGAATTAAATACACAACAAACAGCATGTACTCAACAACAGTTGTAGCATCCCCAGGTCACGTGATTGTCAGTTGCAACCTTCCCAGCCAGCTTCCAACAAGCAAAGTCAATAGGGGAGACTGGATTTGCTTAATGACTGTATGATTCATTTAATAACTGCAGTAATTTTCTTAACAACCATGGATAAAAAGGTTGTAAAAAATTGGTATGACTTAAGAATTCTTAGCAATGAAAATTCAGGACCGAATTATGGTCATATGTTGAGGAGAACCTATAATAGGAGGGAGTATCATGTTAAAAATTGTAAGTTAGGGAAGCCTCAAACTTGGGAGTACACATAGATCTCCATATTATGACACTGGAAATTATAATATCCTTGACTTTTATTCTTGCTTATTTTCAGTTTGTTTGTTTGGTTTGATTTTGTCATTCACATGAACCTATATAACTGAGTGTTATTTGAACATCTTTTCTCTTGTTATTGCAGATATGCCTCAGCCTCCAGGTGGAGACACCTACATCTTGCCAGATGAATATAAACCTCTGCTGAGAAACAAGCGGTCGCTTTTGAAAGCCCATAAGACCAAAGAGTTCAATGTTGAGACTTTGGTGGTGGTTGACAAAAAGATGATGCAAAACCACGGCTATGAGAATATTACTACTTATGTTCTAACTGTACTTAATATGGTACGGATGTTCGTTTAAGTTGATTACTGAACATGTATACAGAATCCATATTATAATTGTCTGAGACTCCTCCAACGAGAATGTATCTCCCCTTGTTCCCCGACAAAACTTTCTTCTTCTTGGGTTACTGCAAACATTAGATTTCTGTTCTGACCCCCTCCTCCGTCCAGTAACGAAAGCCGAGACAAGCTTAATTAGAATGTCCTTTAATAGCAAGACCAGAATCTCGGTGGCTGAAAGCTGCTGGGCCACAAGAGATTTCTATGCTTCCTTAAATAGAGTCCAGCGTAACAGAGATGCAACAACATTCACGTCTTGGATATGAGTGACATTTAGCAAGTATGTTAACAAACCACATCTTTGCTTGAATACATAGCCCCACACCAGAGATTGCTTCTGGTTCGGACGAACCGGTAAAGGAATTCAGGCCTGCCACGCCCCCGAACCGGTTTCCCTCACTGCCACTGGGCTGCCACCATTTTGGTTTTTAGTGAGTCTGCATGCGCAGTTCACTGTAAATTGTTCTGCGCATGTGGGAAGAATAAGTTACATTGAATAGTGCGTGTGTGGGTGGCAAACAGATAGTAAAATTGGCAGCAACCCACTCCTGCCCCACACTGATGCCTCACCTGTTCCTCATTCATTCCTCAGTAGATTCTTGCAATGACTCTTCTTA